GCCCGCCTGGCTGGGGGGGACGGTTGTCCGGGAACGCCCCCTTCTTTGTGTTGTTGACCAAGAAGCGGGGGGGACAATCATTCGACTCGGGAGTTTTGTTGTTTTTCTGTTCCCAACTTTTACTGTTTTGACAATCTTGCTGCAGAGCGAATAAGAGAAAAGGTGCTGCTTACTCTTTATATATATATATATCTGTGTACATGTGTATTATCTATATATATATACACTATATAAAACATGCTTGTGGCAGTGGTCCTCCGTTGCTGCTCCGCTGTCTTTGTCGCCGTCTTGAACAAACAACTCAACGAACTTCTTTTTAAAGACCGGGGGGCAGGCCTAGGTAGGAGGTAGTAGCTAGGTAGCAGCTACGCAGCTAGTAGGGAGAGGTAGCTAGTAGCTACAAGTAAGCTACTAGTATGGACGCAGGATAGCTCACGCTTCTTCAAGGAAGCTCCCCCGCCACCCTAAAGGCGGCAGGAGAAGCTTCCTTGAAGAAGCCCTCGCGCTAATGAATTGGTTTCTAGATGTTTAGGGAAACTTAACTAGTAACAAGAAGCTACTATGAGCTCCTGGAAAACTACTTGTGTGTGTGCGGGCACAAATATGTTCTTGGCCTTGTTCCTCGCATGTGATCATCTCCAAGGACAAACAAGTGTTTCAGCATTCTCTAAACTAACCAAATGGCGCATGCGCGAGCATCCACACATTTTGAGCTTCCCTCAAGCAAGAGTCTGAAGCGGGGTCACGATCCCTGTCCCAGAGGAGCGGTGGCACCCGTGTAAACGTTCCTGCCAAACTGGTTACCTGTTGTTCTCGTTGTGGTTTGCTTTTCATGGTGGTTCATGTATGTGGTTCTGTTACTAACCGCAACTCGCGTTTCGTGTTTTACCTTTCACCTGATTTCTTAGGCGTTTATACTTAGGTGGGCGTGTGGTGAGCGGCATTCGAGTCAGTACGCATTTCAATAAGTGTGTCTCTCCTCGTGAGAGCCCAGGGTGAGCCCGTAGAGTGCCCTGTGGACCCGTCGAACGGGGTTTAGTCGTAGGTGTCCGAAGCGGACAGCAGGAGGCTTATGCCAAAGTTATTTGCCAAGACTTGCCGATTATTGAATTCCAAGCTGGCCGCCATTTTGGCATGCCTTTAGGTGACCAGAGCGGTCTCAAGTCGCCCACCATTTTGGCATGGCACAAGGTGACCAGAGCGGTCAACGCAGTTTCTAGGTTCATTGGAACGTGTCGGGACCTTAACCCCCTTCCTCCCCCTACCCAACCCCTCTTCCCTTTTTGTTTTTGGGGTATTCCTGAATGTAACGCTCAGGTACACTCCTCTCCTTGGTGTGTCGCTGGACGCTTGCTCGTAACTGGGAACACCTGTCTACTTCCTTTTCTTGTGTCATTGGATGCTTTCGTCATAGCTGGGAACCCTTTTCTTCCTTTCTTGGTGTGTCCTTGGACGCTTGCGTCGTAGCTGGGAACACCGTCGTCTTCTCCTTCTTCTTTCCCTTCTCTCCCTACCCCTCCCTTCCTTGTGCGCAGCATACGTACTCGTTGAGGGTATCATATGGAGGGGTCTGAGGCTCTCATATGGAGATCTCGTATGGAGGGGTCTGAGGCTCTCATATGGAGGGGTGGGAGGGTCTCATATGGAGAGGTTTGAGGCTCCCATATGGAGGGGTGTGCGGCTCTGAGGCTTTCATATGGAGGGGTCTGAGGGGTCTGAGGCTCTCATATGGAGGGGTCTGAAGCTCTCATATGGAGGGGTCTGAGGCTTTCATATGGAGGGGTGTGAGGCTCTCATATGGAGGGGTCTGCATATGGAGGGGTCTGACTTTTTTCATCTTTTCTTTCACGTCTCCCTGTCTTCACATCCTGGCATTTCATTCCTTCTTTCTTATGCGCACACAGTGGTCCGGCCCTTAGTATGTACGTGCACAACCTACTTTAAACCTAGGTTTCAGGTCGCCCAGGTCTTTGCAATGAGGTGGGTTTTCATCGGTTGTCCCTGTGCACTTGGTTCCCTTTCATCGCAACCACACACACACACACCTTTGTCACATTATCCTGTCTTGTCCTCTTTTCATGTCTTCATCTTTTTGTCCGCGTTGCGCGCACATGTGCACATTCGCCTTAACCTCAATTTTTCGGCGTGCGTGTGTGTGTGTACCTCTTGGAATCACAGGGATCCTTTCAGATTGTTTGTCTTGAACATCTTGGAGTCATAGGGATCCTGATGGATTTGCTTTTGTTTTCCTTTTTCAACCTTATGACAGTAGCTACGCAGGGGGCCACGGGGGTCCCAGAGGAGCGGTGGCCAACGAAGACCTCGTCTGGCACCCGTGTAAACGTACCTGCCAAACTGGTTACCTGTTGTTCTCGCTGTGGTCTGTTTTCATGGTGGTTCATGTATGTGGTTCTGTTACTAACCGCAACTCGCGTTTCGTGTTTTACCTTTCACCTGATTTCTTAGGCGTTTATACCTAGGTGGGCGTGTGGCGAGCGGCATTCGAGTCAGTACGCATTTCAATAAGTCTGTGCACCTTGAACTCACAGGTTTCTCATATTTTTGAAGATTTGTTGCCTTGATGTGCAGGGGGTGTTGGGGGCCTGTTTGAGCTGAGAGCCGAGGAAAAGGCTCATGCAGTGTTCGTGCAAACGTATCTGCTCTTGACCACACCGGTCCCCGATGCCAGGAGCTCCTAGTAGCTTCTTGTTCCTAGTAGTAAGGCCAGGAGCCCCTGGTAGCGTCCTTGCTCCCAGTAGCGATGCCTTTTGCTCCTGGTAGCGTCCTCTACCCCCCTTACTACTAGGAATATTTTTTCCTTCCTCGCCTTGCTTTGGAGCATGTGATCTGCTCGAGATGTCCTTGAGCAGAGGTTTGGACACCGCATGGACAAATCCTGGACATGTGGCTTTCCTTTTGGGTTTCGCCAAGGCTTGGGATATTCATATCGGTCCTATCTTTAGTGCGAGGGCACACGTGCCGTCTCGAGCTCCAAACTCCGCATCACAGGGCACACCAGACGACTGGTTTCTTGGTCAACAGCGTTGGCCCGACACTGGCGTATCCACACAACGGACCCTTTATCCTCCACTGATTGGCGTACCGGCTGATCTGGGCCATTTGGTTTGTAGACACGCTTTCCATGCGCTTGCACGTAGATTTGATGTTTTGTTTGTCCTGTGGTTCATTGAGTCGTTTTTGCTTGAACGACCGTGTTGTGTGACTTTTGCTTTCTTGTGTGAAGGTTACACTCGAATATGAAGACCCACCAAGCGGTTCCAATGAACATGGCCCGCTGTTCCAGCCGAAGCACTGCGTTTTGACCGGTTTGAAGATTTGCAACGGGAACGTGGCCAAGAAGTGCGAAGAAATAGCCCCAGGTGAGGATATCATCTTTACCTCAACGCCACGCTGGGCCTATGGTGTGCCATACACACTGCACAAGCTTGTAAACGCCAAGTTACAAGCATGGCCGTCGAAAGAAGCTCAGAAGATCGGTGATTGTTCCAAGATTCAGTATGTGCAATCCATGGAAATCGACCCGGACGGGGTGATGTGGGTCATCGATGCCGGCCACAAGTACTTCACATTTTCAGGTCCTGGTCCAGAGTTGTTTGACAGGTCCATTGATCCCAAGACCCATGAACAAACTGGGAGAGATGGTCCAGATCTCAGCTGCCCACCGAAGATCGTCCTCATTGACATCAAAGATGGCACCTTTATCCAGAGCTACGTTTTTCCTCCTGATGTGGTTGCATATCATGCTTCCACCCCTCCCTTTGGCACATTCTTGAATGACATTGTTATCGACACAGTGAGGCAAGTAGCTTTCATAAGTGACCTTGGTGGCTTTGAGTCGGAAAATGGTGGCATCATCGTGTACAGCCGCAATGGAAACTTTGGGGCTGGTTCAAGTAGACGGTATCATGACCGAACAACTGCCGGCACCATGGGATACAACATTACTGTTAATGGACATAACTATTCTTCTCAACTGGGTGGAACCGCTGTGGATGGAATTGCACTTTCCCCGGACCGCAAGCACCTTTACTATGCAAAGCTTGGTGATCCAGAGCTGTACCAGGTCAGCACTGATGCCCTTACTGATTTGTCTTCAGACTACACTGCTTGGAAAGCAAATGTGAAAGCTACTGTGGTGTACTTGGGGAACCAAGTTGGCACTCCGAATGGGCATGGGTTTGGAGTGCCTGATGGTATTACAGCTGCAGAAAACGGCATGATTTTTGCAGGTGCATACAACCACAATGCTTTGGGTACCTACAGAGTCGACAAGAAGCTGGTGCATGTGAAATCTGTACAAAGCGAGGCTGTGATCCCTTGGATTGATACATTTGGATGGGACAACAAAGGCTATCTTTGGATGACTTCTAATCGGTTGAACCACTGGTTCTTGGGAGCAGCCACTGGCAACACCATGGATTTCTCTGGGCGAACTGGCACCAACTTCAAGATACTCAAGACTTATGTCGGCACCAATTCCTACATTTGTGCGCAGGAGGGAGTCAGCTGCCAACCAAAGGACTTCTCCGACTGTACTTTTTCTGATTGGGGATTGTGGGGAGATTGCTACAGGTCTGGAAATGCAGAGGATGCAGGCAGGCAATGGCGCAGCAGAAGTGTATCTTGCACCAGGGGGGGGCAAACCACTGAAAGCAAAGACATGGAGGAGAGCTTCTGTGTGCCACTTCCACTAACCTGTCCCAGAGGCAAGGAACTGGAAGCATTGGCTTCCAAGTACGAGCCATGGGGGCTGTATTCAGACGTTTGGGGTGAAGACGGCAGATATGGCCTGAACCCATATCCTACACCTGTAACAGGTGTTCTCGTGGATCGTGCAGAAGGATGCGGAGTTTGCTATGAGGGTTTGGTGGAGTATCTTTCAGGCTTTCCGACCAACAGCTTTTTTGTTCACGCAAACACTTGTTAAGGGTCTGGTTTGTCGTATCTTAGGATGTTGTAATTGTAAGGTTGCAAACGCATTTTGCTTTGGCGTGTGCAAGATGGACCACATCATCCAAAACCCCGACGAATGCCCTGTGACGATCTCTTTAAGAGGGCACGGACTTCCCAATTTCCAGTACTCTCTGCGCTTGTTCTGGGAAGAGAGACAATTCAGGATGTCGCAAGCAGATGCAAAGATGTAGAATACACAGAACACGCTGTCAAACTTGTAGATCACAAGGTGCTTATCATAGCCCATGCAACCGAGCACATCTCCGACCTCCTAACGAACGGCTCTGACTTTGAATAAGTATTGGAAAAGCACCTGTGCGGTTGTAGCGCTGTAGGTAAGCAAGAACAGGCTCAAAATCCAAGTTTGGATGCGCAATTGCAAACACATCTCTAGAGCTTGAATGCCTTTACTGCAACTTAAGTTTCCCTAAACATCTGGGAATTAGGGTGGCAGGGGGGGCTTCCTTGAAGAAGCGTGAGCTATCCTGCGTCCAGTTACTAGAAGCTTCAGTAGCCAGTAGCTTACTCCCATACTTAATTAAGTAGGCGCCTACTTGTATAATTAAGTAGGAGCGAGCAAAAAGGAAATTGAAAAGAGAACAAGCAGCTTTTGTGGCCAACTTCAGACTTGCAGACTTTGGACATCCTCAAATTTGATGTCCTATAGCTTTTGAATGACATATTCGGTCGAGCTGCGAAAGACTTCCCCTTCTTTTGTGCTTATGGCAGAATTTTCTCGGAAGTTCTTGAGACACACGCCAGCCTGCAAACCATTTATGGAATGTTAGAACTTTTTTCCTTTTCTTTTTTCTTTGTTTCTACTAGCGATGGCCTCCAACCTATGATGGCTAAGGCTAGGCTTCTTCAAAGGGCTGAGAGATGGGTGGCAGTTTTGCGGGATAAGGAGCTTTAGATAGCGCATGCCCTCTGACTCCCTGGAAGGCTGTTTGGTTGGTGGCCGCCTGCATGAAGGCATGACCATGCGCTCACCACATGTGAACTCTCCAGTAGCAGACATGGCGATCCAATTCAAGCCAAGAATCCTGCACAACACCACATGCAAAAAGGAGGGCTATTTGGTACCGATTGGAGTCCCGGCTTTCTACTACAAGTTTCAAATCAATCTCTTTGCTCGATTCTCTCAGGAGAGATGGAATTTGATGTATCCCAGCGGTGACCAGAGACCTGCTTCTTGTGATGTGCATTGCTGGTGGGAGCAGCATCCGGAATGCAATGCTTTCTTGTCCTGGCAGCCCGATGCATCCCTTCGAGAAGAATATCCCAACCGCTCGACGCGTTCGACGCTTTCAACGCCAGCAGCGAAGAATGCGAGAGCGAAGGCAAAGTTCTTGGAGAAAGCGAGGAACGAGGTCATGCCAACACCCACCGTTGAGGGAGCTGCTGTGCCCGTGATTGGGATTGGGACGGGATGCACCTATAGTCAGTGGAGTCTTTGGGGTCATTGCACCCGACTGAATGCCACTACACGTGAAGGGATCCAGAACCGCACACGACATGTGCAGTGTCGTGGAATTCGCTCGACCGAGACCGAGTTTAGCAATTGCACCAAGTTCCCAGTAGCCTGCCGCACACAGAAGGAGCTGGAAGTCCTGGCCGAGCGTTATGAACCCTGGGGACAATATTCAGATCAATGGGGGCTTTACGAAGGAAGATGGGGTTTCAACCCATATCCTGTCAAAGTTGAGGGTGTGCTGGTGGACAGTGCTGAAAACTGCGGTGTCTGCTATGAGTCAACAATCGAATTCTTGCAAGGGTGTTTGGTGGGAGAGCGAAGTTCTATCATCAACGGCAAACCCAACTGGCCTTACAAGAACTCCCCTGTTGTAGATATGGCCATCCAAGACAAGCCCACAATCATGCGCAATGTCACTTGCAAGGAGCTCGGCTACCCAATTCCCATCGGGAATCCAGCATTCTACTACAAGTTTCAGCTAAACCTTTTTGGACGGCTTTCTTTGGACGAATGGGCTCTGATGTACCCCGCTGGTGACCAACGCGTCATTGCAGATCCTGTCCAGGATTGGTGGGACAACGTTCCAGAATGCCGTCGGTACTTCAGGGCAGTGCCCATGGGCCCACGCTATGTTCAGCCTTAGATACCTTTTTGGGCATGCATAGAGCCTACAAATACCTTTTCGTTGGCATGAATATATTGCCATTTCCTAGAAATGTTCTACAGTAATTAGTGCGAGCCATCAAGTCCAAGAGCGACATGTGACGATTCCTGCTCCGACAAGGAGCCTTGCCTGCTCCATGCACATGAAAGATACTCAAGCTGCAGCGGAGGATCCGAGTCTCACAGTGGAGTTTCTAGCCATGGCCTGCAACCTAAGAGCGATGGCCTCCAAACTAATTGTAGTTTTGCTCCTCTGGTCTTTGTCAAGAATCGATGGCGCTTGAACACGGACTGCACGTCTGATGAACCACTAGCCCACATGTTTGCAAGTTGATCTGAAGAGCATGTCTCTCTAAGGTTTGGATATCATACATCCTATGAATTGGACCCCACCCTGTAGAAGAGCACAGGCTTACAAGAAATCTACCCGACATCCTGTTGGAAGAATAGAAAAGGCAGTGATACACGAAGAACAAGAAAGTCGACAACCTGTTTGTTTCAGAACAACGCAGTCAATCTGTTTTCATGAAATCAAATGAGTCAAATGCATCCGACACAGATGACTTCCATGAGCGAACCACGGCGGCGAATTGTGGGGAAGAGGCGCATAGCGCCTAGGGTGGCGAATCGAAAGGATAAGAAAGGGTATTTGAGTCCTCCAACCTAATTGTAATGGCCTCCTCCAACTTACCAGCGATGGCCTCCCACCTACTAGCGATGGCCTCCCACCCAATAGCGA